TATATATATTATAGCATTTTATTATAACCACTCGTCAAACTCGACACGTCCTCAGACATAGAACCATATCACACAGGCCTATAGTCTCACCTGTATATCGGCTTGCAGATTCTCGCAGTATTTTTTGGCCAAAAATTACGTACTGTATTTTCTACTGTTGTGGTACAATCGTATATACAAATTTCCATCCCATCAATCGCGCGGCTGATTGTTAATCCTATGCCCTACAAATAGGCACGTGTGATTGCGTCTGGGGTGATACAATACAATGTACGTGGTGCAGATGGCTGAAGAAGTGTCCCCTCTATTACAGGGTTTGGTAGACAATATAAGGTTCACCTAGCCCCGTCGACTATTCATATCGTTGTGTTGGGAACGCCCCAACAACCAACGACCCCGAACAACGTGTTACCTTTAAAGCGTACCTGCTGTATTGTAGTGTATATAACCATAGCCAACTAAAAAAACATAGCGAGTAACGAGTTGCGAACCTTCTAAAAAAAAACACCCAGTTTTTTAAACGACACACAACAATTGAATTTGTTCGAAACCACACAGGTTTCAAACCTGTGACAGCCTGACAGGATGACGTACATAGTACATACTACCAAGTAGTACGTACCAGACCCAGTCGTAGCCTGAGATTATTTCTATTTTAAAACATGAAACATTGATACCAACAAAACTAACATTTGAAACCAAATCGCCATAGAAACAAATAGAGCCCGGAATACCTTTACATTTGATTGGTTCATTTTCGTCCCCTCTCCTCTACTCGAGACGTGAGATCATGATTCTAACAATACAAGCCAATCGCATTGTCCCGAACGTAATTGTGATGACTATATTCGCCCTAACGTCACAGACACCTCTAAGGCTCTGGGAACTCACTGGACTGTGTGGTATGAAGTCGGTGTTATGTAGCGGCTTTCTGTACATAGTCTATATCGATATGGCATCATAGTTCCGACATGTAGCATTGATGGATCTTAGATTGTGTAAAAGCAAGATAGTCGGTATTTCTACACGTCACTTCATAGTTGTCACAGCCAAGCTCACGCCAGCAACAACCATGATATCAGACCAGTCACAGGCTCTGGATGCAGAGCAGAATGCCGCCGTCGACTGTCCCTGGGGCAGTGACAATGCATGTATAGCATACAACGAGATTCTCGAGAAGTACGATTTCCACAACGCCTGCAACAGGTATTCTACAGCAACTCTGTGTGGCGACGTCAGTGGGTTGTCTGTACTGGATTTACCCAGTGGGCCTGGTTGCTATGCACTGTACTTCCTGGGCAACGGTGCGAAGGCAGTCACCAGCGTGGACTTGGATGCCAATTTTGTTAAGGAAGCTGGCGAGAAGATCAAGCGATTGCCGCCGAAGTCGCAACACGCCTGGCAGGGCTTAGTAGCAAATGCTTGCATCCCACAGATGTACGCGCAGGGCCCTTTCGATCTTATCCGTGCGAGTTTTGTGATGGAGGTGTTTCCTACTTTAGACCTGACGAGAGCTTGTCTGCAGAATTTATACGACAACCTCAAACCCGGCGGGCGTATTGTGAGTATCACAGCATCAGGCGCACACACTCCGGAAGACGGTAAGGTAGTGTTAGACACCGTTGGTATGGCAACCACCGACCTTACTAAGATTAACCCTGGCGACCCTGTGGACTGTACATACGTTAAACTGAGCACACCAACCACCATTAGCTGGCTCTGGCGTCCCGAAGAACAGTTGCGCAAGGTGTTGCAAGAAGTAGGGTTCAGCGACATCTGCTTCCAGCGTCTGTTAGTCGACCCGCAGTACAGTGGTCCTGATGATTTGGAGACGTTCGTCAACCACGTGGGTAACCGTATTGTCACCGCTACGAAGCGGTAGGTGAGCAGTCAAAAACCTGCAGAAACTTTACTACGAAGCTGTAGGTGAGCGGTCAAAAACCTGCAGAGGCTATACTACGAAGCTGTAGGTGAGCGATCGCATTAAGAGGCCGTATGATTTGTACTCCGACTAAACCGTATCTTGTCTCATAGTTGAAGGCTGGGAAAGAGCGTCTACCGACTGTCAAAAGGAAAGAAACAGTCCCTATGGGGTGTATAGAGAGGAAACCATATCTCGGCTCACAGAGGCTGGGCAAGAGCGGCTACCGACTGTTACAAAGAAGAAAAAGTTCCCACGGGGTGTATAGAGAGGTATCTATGACAATAATTCACATCATACACGATGTGCGATTCCACTTACTAAGTTATCATACTGTACGAATAAAGCGTAATCAAGGAAATATATAAAACGAATCTAGGAGATTTGATTAAGTTCTGATACCAGAAACAAATATAAAGTATTTAATAAGTCTTAAGTATCAGGGGTTTAGTTGATCATATCCATCCATCTCACTATCACGTTTACTTGATAGAGTGCTTCATTTAAAAGATCTCGCCCAAAGCTCAAACAGCTATAAAATAGCCCCCCTAACTCACCTTAATTCTCTCGAATGCTGCATATATAACCCCACAATTAACTGATGTACAGGGATTTCTACCCGATCTACGCGTGCAGCAACATCCTTTTATATAAGCGTACCACACAGGAGTGTATGTGATCCGTACAGACCGCATACAAGTCATCTTAGAACAGACAACTTCATCAATCCCAACAACACTGACCAACTCTAAAGAATTGCTAGCATTGACCATATGGAAACCCCAAATTGATCGGTAAAGATCACGTATTGCCTATTGCTTCCGCATTTTGCTACTATCGTAGATAAACCAGAAGACGTTCATCATACAAATATGTGCCGAGAAAACGACATCAGAGGCCCTCTTCCTCACCCTCAACTAATATTAATCCCTGCAACAGCTGGACAATCTCAATGTAGCTCCGATATGAAGATCTACACCCATCAACAATACCAACGAAACCGTCAATCGAATACACCAGATCTATTTTAACTCCTCTGGATCTACTCCGCACCTCGTCGCAGCTGGGGCGCGGGCCAACGCACCTCTAGCTCACTTCCTCTGGCCCAACATCTGAACCCACGATCAGCCAACACATCCATGGCAATCTGCTGCCCCTGTGCAGTGAACACCTCGGGATCAAACACATTCACGTCCAAGTACACTCGTCCGTGCATGAAATTGGACTCAATCAGAGGGTACACGTGTGTGCTAAGTTGCGCAGCCACCTGCTCGAATAGGGCTGGATCACGCACCTGAGCACTGTCCAGTGAGCTGACCAGGGTCTGTCTGGCCCTGAACGTAAGCTCGTGTGCGCAGGGCAATTTGTGGATCATTTTGAAGGTACTCTCCCGCAATTCCGTGCTACTCTGGTATTCCATCTCCTTTCTGATGTTCGCCTGTGTCTCTGCCTTCGATCCCATAGAACTGACAAAGTTGTAGATAAAGTGTTTGCCCAGGCTCTCGAGTGCCGCAAACGTCTCTTTGCGGAATGCTGCGTATCGCTTGGCAGCTAACTGCGGATCGTAATCAGTTGGGCGTTCTTCCAACTCCTCAGCATCTTCCTCCTTGGCGTCGGCTGCTTTCAGAGCAATGTTGTGTTTCTTGTTCTCCTGACCTCTCTGTAGTTGACGGTGGATACTCGCCTGCTCGTCAATGTACACCACTGCAATTCGGAAGATAGGGTAAGGGAATCGGGTAGGGTTTGCCTGGTGTTGCTTCATCAGTTCTTTGTGCAGATCGTGTACCATGTCTGCCTGTGCCGAAGTTCGGGGGAAACCATCGATAACAACTCCGTCCTGGTACTTGGGGTCCAGAATTTTTTCGAATAAGGCCTCGACAACCTCTCTGTCTCCCACCAGCTCACCAGTCGCCTGTTCAAGGATTGATTTTACAGTGCGTGAGCATGTGTGGAAGGGTTTGAACACGATCGTTAGGTTTGGAACTGTAAAGCGGGACGCATAACGGTACAGAATACGTGGACATTATATACAGGGTGGTATCACCTTTGGGAGAGCGACCACGTTGGGCAGAAAACAGAAGAAAAAACAAGTACCAAACACAGTGGAATTTGAGCGGATATTGAACTCAGATTAAATCTGTCAGTGAAGAAAAACTGACATTTAGCTAAAAGACGAACACTGTGACACAACAGCCTGGAAGTACGATGAAAAAATAGTGTGTCGAGTGTATATATACAGCAGCGTACATATGCGAAGACAATACAAGAAACATGTAATGATGTGACAAGCATGTATGGACGTACATGCACTAAAGCACGCATGCGACATTGAAATTTCGAGCACGAGCATGTGCCATTTGGCCAGCGAGACGAAACAAGTGAGTTCGGTCGATATCAATGATATTGTTAAGCGAATGTAAGTAAAGTTCTTCATCGAAACGCACGGGAATGTACAGACACGATTTGCATTCGATTCCCAACAGAGGCACACACATAAGAAGTAACTTCGAACTCCTACGTATTCCATGAGCGGCGACGACCATCAACCATTAAAACCACGCATTAAAGATTAAAACCATCTCATTACATCAGGCAACCTGTATCTTGACAATATACAACCTATATCTAGACAATATACAACCTGTATCTTGACAATATACAACACAATTATTTCATATATATATTCGCAAACACTCACCTTCTTAGCCAAAGCCTGTGGCGACTTCAGTAGGTCGGATACAACAATAGGTGGTGCAGTGATCCCTCGCTCCTTCATGATAAACTTCGTGTGTGTACTCTTTCCACTGCCAGGGGCACCACCTAACCACATGATCTCTTTGGGGAAAAGCATGTCATCTGCTCCTACACGCTTGCGAGTCTTCTCCCACACATCTTGGAATAGTGACTCGGCTGCAACGTGGTCTAGTTCTTCTCGCACACTTGTTTTAGTGGAATAGGCTGGCGTGAGCGACCTAGCTTCACCTTTTTTAAGACTGATTTGGTTGTTTGCTATGGAGCCGATGGCACGTGCATGGATGTTATTACTAACTGAGAATAGGGATGCACGTGTCTTGATTGTGAGTGCGCTGTTAACATTGGCGGACGTGGACACACATCGAGTGTTGCGGATCGAGGGGCATACCCTTCGAGCTTGACGAACCAAACTCATCATTCACTAATGGAGATAGACTCAACTCAAAAAGATGTTATTAGTCTGAGCACGATCGCGTTGGTTTGTATACAAGAGTGCACGGGAGGCATAGGTTTATTGACTATTTATTTCACGTGATGTGAAAACACAAAACAAATATAAAATATAACAGCCTCCAAATCGTACAAATATATTTTTTTTCGCAAAGCCTCGATAAAGCCTAAAATACTCAGAGTAAAATAAATAATATTTATTAGAGAGAAAGAACCGTAGAGGCGTACATAGAACAACGATTTTGCTTATTTTCGCACACTACATGATACAACACGAAGAGTGGGGTTCTCAACAACCACCAAAAAATAAAAATATCCTAATGGGGTTTCTTGCCACTTTTGTTGTTGTGTCTGAAACTCGAATTCTGAAATGAACCAGTCCACATCAACAACGTGCTGGAATTAATATACATCGTGTACAGGGATATAAAATGTTTAAACCCGATTGTAGCTTACTTTTACTTGTACAATTTTAGAACATATATTTATTTTGGTATGTGATTTAAAACAAATACTGTGGTCTGAAATAATTTGTTGGAAACTAAATACATAATCGTATACCAGCACAACAAATTTAAATTTCACGTATCATTGTGATTGGTAGTCACTGAATCAAATATGGAATTGCCAGAAGTTTAGATCTTGACTTCTATATTGTTTGGAGAATTCAGGGCGCGGGGGCCGCTGGGCGGGCCGCTCCTTGACTTCACCTTCGCCATTTGGAAAAAAAGCACGCGCCAAACGCATGCGCCCTTTACAGAAGAACTTCACAGATACAGTCAACGTTTGAGATTTTAAGAACTGACAGTCTGACACCTAACTGACAGGGGCACTCCCCAGAATGTTGCCCAGTGGCCAGACGCCAGTGCCCCAATCCCAAACTCCATATTCAATATTGGGATTTGGGGAGAAGGCATAGGCAATTAAATAGACATAGCTTTCTCATCATGATTTAAAAAAAACCCCCATAAAGAGTGAAGCATATTATTTTTATAGACTTCTAAGCCTCTATCACTATGGGTCCATGGGAGAAGGAAACAAAGTTAAAAATAGAACAATATTTCTAAAATTAGAATCCCGTGGCCTCGTCAATTTGGTTTGAGTCTTTGGGACTAGTTTGGGGATTTTTTTAGCCAGATGGCATATATTTGTTGTTATTTTTAATTTTTTAGAAACCAAAATAAATACATAACATTTTTTAAATCATAGCCTCTCTCACAGTCGCTGCTGAATGTGTAGCAAATAGGACAGGAGAGAGGGTAGAGTTGGCCCTCTCGACTCATAGAGTTCGATTCTCTCTACTACAGAGTAAATTTTTACTTTTTTGTTGTAATAAATAGCCTCCTAAATAATTCCCATTTCCCTGCCGGCCTGCCATAGCTCCATATTTTTTCTTTATTTTATAAACAATAAAAGGTCCCTGCTTTCCTAATATATGAAAAACAAATGACCTCCCGAATCCTGGACTCCCGTGGCTACAGGCCAATTCGAATCCCGGTTTTGTTTACATATTGATATCAAGTGTCAAAGTCGTTTGAAATGGCACGTGACATGTGTCAAATTTTGAATGTCAAATTTCAAATGTCAATCCTCAAAATGTCAAGTCAATATGTCAAATGTCAAATGTCAAATGTCTGGCTGCCAGCTGGATAAGCTGTCAAATTAAGGTTTGTAAATACACAGAACTTAGAATTGGGATTTTACCGTTATAAAAAATTGTCGGATCTATGATATTTTAACACTAAACTATAGGCCAATCATCACCTTCCACTTTATGAGTACATATTTTATGCGCACTGGGCTTAAAAAAAAGCCTGTACGAAACTTTTAGTAACACAGAGGAAGTCGAAGAATTGGTATTTATGATTTTAACACTATTTAGAGGAAGATGTATAAACAATATCATGGCGTTTGCTCGACCGATTTATATATTATATATTGTATTAAGAAAACAAATACTGTAGAGAACAAAGTATAATATAGTGTTTGTTTAAAAAAAACGCTATTTATAATACTATAAAGAATATAGAGAAACAAAATGTGAAATAGCATTAGAAGAGCTTTACACTGTTTAGTAATTTACAACCCAAGGGCAAAAATATAGATCGACGACAGCTATCTTCATCGGATACACTGCGAACAGTTCTACCCCCACTATCGATATTGGAATACGGACAGATACTGCACTCCGAGGTATTCATTCGCGTCTAATACGCTCAAGCTACCACGAGAGTTAAAGTACAAGCAGATTAAACGTACTAGGAGTATCATTATAGACATATATATAT